CATAATGGATGATTTAGAAAATCCATTTACTCTTTAAAAATATCATCAGTTTTGGATGAACTATTTCACTACCAGTCTAGTCACAACAATACAGAATCACAATGTTGGAAAAAACCTTCAAGATCATTGAGTCCAACCCATGCCCTAACACCTCAACTAAACCATGTCATCACCAAGTGCCACATTTAGTCTTTTTTTAAACACATCCAGGAATGGTGACTCCACCATCTCCATGGGCATACCATTCCAGTACTTTATCACTCTTTCCATAAAAAACTTTTTCCTAGTATCCAGCCTATATTTCCCTTGGCACAGCTTAAGACTGTGTCCTCTCGTTCTGTCAGTTGCTGCCTGGAGAGAGAGAGACCAATCCCCACCTGGCTACAGCCGCCTTTCTGGGAGTTGTAGAGAGTGATAAGGTCACCCCTGAGCCTCCTTTTCTCCAGACTAAACAGCCCCAGCTCCCTCAGTCATTTCTCACAGAGCTTGTGTTCCCAGCCCCTCTCCAACCTCGTTGTCTCCTCTGGATGCACTCAAGCATCTCAAGGTCCTTCCCAAACTGAGGGGCCAGAACTGGACACAGCACCCAAGGTGTGGCCTCACCAGTGCTGAGTACAGGGGAAGGGTGACCTCCCTGCTCCTGCTGGCCACACCATTCCTGATACAGGCCAGGATGCCATTGGCCTTCTTGGCCACCTGGGCACACTGCTGGCTCATGTCCAGCCGGCTGTCAGTACCCCCAGGGCCCTTTCTGCCTGGGCACTGTCCAGCCTCACCATCCCCACCCTGTAGCACTGCAGGGGGTTATTGTGGCCAAAATGCAGGACTTGGCACTTGGATTTATTAAACTTCATCCTATTGGAGTCTGCCCATCCATCCAACCATTCCAGGTCTCTCTGCAGAGCCCTCCTACCTTCAAACAGATCAGCACACGCTCCCAGCTTAGTGTCATCTACAAATTTACTGATGAAAGACTCAATACCCTCATCTATGTCATCAATAAAAATATTGAAATAGACTGGATATACACAACCTTGTAGCCATCGCTCAGTGTACTAAAATGAAAATGTGGGGTCTGCAAAACTTAAACCACCAAATGTTGTTCCTTTGCTACAGACATGGTTAACACACACTGCCAGCCCTCGCAGAGTCTTTTCACAAAGTGTCAACTCCTATTTATCTTACTGGTGTAAGATAAATAGGAGTTGACCTGGGTTATGCAAAGTCAGAATTTACAGTGGATTGTAAAACTTGTACCAATTTGTTTCCTAGTAGTTTTTGACCTGTAGTTCTCAGTGGAAGCATTCACAGAAAACCTGCCCAAAATATATGAGTCAAAATTAAATAAATACAAAGTCATACCATGTTGCGTGTGACTGCCCACTGACACTGATCCCCTCAGTTCCTAACATAAAAGGTAAGGTAAAGGAAAACTGTGAAACTCAGAGAAAATTTCTGGCAAAAGATTTATAAATCTGGTCATTTTTCCTCAATAACATGAAAACTGCTACTTTAGCAATTAGCACAATAATCCTTTCACAATCTCATAAAACCCAACCATTTATAGATCCTGAATGAGAACCTTCCTTTTCAACAGTTCTTACCACCAAATCAAAAGACATTAAGAATTATACCACTCAGATTAATTCCTTCCAGCCTAAGGGCTAGAAGCTTACTTCCCTTTTAATTGAAGGTAAAAATCTCACATAATCCAGTGACTCCAGAGGCTTCAACTATGAGGAAAACTAATTCAGAAAGAAATTTAAATCACAAGAGGCAACACCAACGCATTAAGCAATGCTTTTCAATTGAAAGGTACAGGAGACTTTCAGACCTCTTCCTAAGGCATAAAATGATAAACATTGAAAGGAGTCAAGCCCAAGCCCACAAAGTATTCAGAGAAAATTCTTTTGCTTCATGAAAAAAACAACTTCTACAAAGAGCACAAAAATAATAAAATTAGGGAATCATTTATGGCCTTCACAATAATAATAATAATAATAATAATAATAATAATAATAATAATAATAATAATAGGCCAAACAATTAATCATAGTCCCTACTTTGGTAAAACTCTTATTGAGTTATACTGTTATTTTGGTGGGGATTTGGTTTAGCACAGATATTTCATTCTACAACTGATTCTCAAAATAAAGACAGAGTAGTGCAAACAACTACATCAAAGTCTGATGTGTCATGTAGCAATGAATATTTCTGTTGGAAATTTACTTGTTTTCTTTTTAAAGCAGTGGCATATCTAGGTCTCCCTGAGATTAGGAATATTAACTATTCTGGGTGTGATTCCTTTGTGACTTCATGGAATTTCTGTTGTACCTGGGGAATGGAAAAATCTTAAGAGCAGTTACAGTCATAACGAACCTGAGGACTGTAAATAAAAAATATATTAAAAATTAGGCCTGAAAAACTTCAGATGGTAGCAAGTGTTAGTGGGGAGGTGGTGACAATAATTGTATTATCTCAAGAAACTCTCACATCTTCCTGGTTAATGTTTTCTGGTTTTAAGCACCTCTAACAAAGACAGACTTTCACCTACTTTATATTCATAATGATTCACGCAAATTTGCCTCCTTTTGAGGCAGGGGGTCAAGTGTTTAAGTTCATTCTATAATAAGTAATATCTGCATAGACTTTTGATGTATAATAATGAGGCATGTTTTGCACACATTAAAAATCGAGGCCCACAAAAATGGACTATTTGTGGATTCAATTCACCAGTGGCATATAAAATTCAAAACAGAAGGACTGAAAAGATCATAAATACATTTTCAAATTTTGTGTCTACCCTCCCATAGTACGCAGTCTTATTTTTTATTGTGTGGTTCAGTATAAAAAGAAAAGGATTCAATAGTTCTCCCTGTATATTGACAATGAAGGCATGCACCATGAGAGCTGTGGCTGTGGCAAAGAATCTCAACATAAATTTGCACACATCTATTTTTTCCAAATATAAGGCTTTCCTGGCAGGCAGTCAATCATGCAGGAATTGCCAAGGCTCTGTAGATAGGGCAATTATAATTCTCTGTGCACTGCTGCTAGACCACCTGCACGTTCACATGTGATGGAAGTCGGATTTGAACCCAGCTCTCAGGAGATGAATGCCAACCCACTGCTATTTACTATCAGCCTGTTTTTCATTATCTTTTATTCTAATTAAGAAACACTATTTATAACTACACCTGACAAATAGCTAAGCATGGTGGAAGCTAGCAGATGTAACTTGTGCCATAAAGCTTGGAGCTGAGATTTTACATTCATTTTGGGGGTGGGCCCAAAATACAAAGCCCATATTTTCATGTATCATGCTTTGCTTTCATCAACATTGTACTGCAGTTGGAAATGCATAATGTTTTGTGATGATTTAGATAGAGAATGTCAAATTCTGCTTCAGATAATGTTTCCAATATTTTTATTGGAAGTATGCCTGTAGTTTTTTCATTAATGAATTCTATTAGATTCATTAAAATAACATTTTACTTGAAAAAATATTGGAAAATGAAAATTTAATGATGTCAAATGAGTCATCGTTTCTCTATCAAAAGTCTCATCAGAAAATGAAAGGAGAAACAGTTCTACCACTTATTTAAAAGAGCAGTTTTAGACTACTAGCTGTAGTATTCCATCTAAACAAAATACAGAAAATTATGAAAGAACATAACAGCTACTGTAGTATGTTTCACTTAATGGAAGCTTTTAGGAAATATTTTAAATTCATCTGCTTCTGACTGGATGATAAACAAATAACCACATGCTGAAGCAATAAAAATAAATTACTCTGCCAACTTCCCTCTGAAGTGTCACCATGCAGGATGGTACATATTTCAAAACATTAAACTTTATCTCCATCTAGGCTCAGGACTGAGTGAATTTTACATGGAAACCAAGCATTTCATATTGGATAAACTAAATAGCAAAAAAATATTTTGATTTCTAAAGGTACACATTTGTTTGTTCGCTTTACTGGAGCACTGGTGAACAACAAACTCAGGCTTTTCATGGTTAAAGATAGGATACTCTCTATGGCATCCTCTTTTTGTGGTGGTGTGTACCAATTTCAAAACAGTTGAGAATTTAAAACTAATTGCCAATACAAACCGTGCTGCAAAAATGTATCCCATGCACACTTTTGAAAACATTAGTCATAATTATAATTTTCCCACCCACAGCAGGGTAAGGGAAAATAATTTAAAACAAAATATCATTTGGGTGCAAAACTGTCTCTCAAGGCTTTCAGAATAATAGGCAATGGCATGAAGATATGCCTTAAATCAATAGCAGGAAACCAGGCAAGAGAAATATCTAGACAGGAGCTCTACAGGGCAGTGTGGAAACAAAGTGGGTACTAAAACAAATATTATTTTTCATATTTTCCCAGTAATTACGCTCCTCAGCCAGAATCCCTAGGAAATGGACTGGGGTTTGTGTTATACTTTCAGCACTGGCATGTAAGAGTTTTGATTCTCCTGCCCTCTGAATACAAAGTCACACACCGAGGTCCCTGCCAAGCAGGATTGTAGTCTGGATCCTTCTGGGATCTCCCGCGGCAATATCCAAGGCAAGCAGGGAACTTCCCTGACGGGAGCAGGGGGCAGGTGAGGGCTGTGGGCACAGCCAGCGAGCAGGGGCTCTGCAGTCCCAAACCCACCAGCTCTGCACGCATTTACAGCGAGGTCAATAACTGGGCTCAGGGCTGCTTTTGGACACGGGGAGCTCTGGCACGTACAGTAAGCACAGCTTTTCTCCAAGTGACCAATTCCTTTGGGAATGACACGAATCGGCAGGCCGGTTAGGGTAACACAGATGAAGAGCTCATTTTGTGTTGGGAAGGGAAAAAACCAAACCAAGAGATGAAAGAGGACATTATGTTTTTCATGCAAAATGAAAAGTTTGCTATGTGATTTCATTAACAAAAGACCACGACAATAGGTACTCGGGTAAAGAGAACAACTTCTGACCTTGAAATTGCGTGCTAAATAAATTACCTCAGAGCGAAAGTGATGAGTTCTCATGACAGCATCTGGAAGGGAAGCAGAAAGACACACAGGCTCCACCAGCTGCACCTCGCATTTCGCCCCGGCTAACGGGTTTACCCCGCCACTCGCCCTTCGGCGCACACTCCGGGACGGCTCTGGCCCCTCAGGCACAGCCGACAGCTCCGCCCGGCACTTATATTTAATTCATCGGGAAGAAGTTGGGCATAAAGTTCTGCTGCGCTTTGACACACCGGGGAGGGCTGGGGCGGAGGCGGGGGGGCTTCCCAGCCTCTCACCTCTCTCCCTCTAGCCGAGGTTTCGCTGAGGGATGGGTGGAGACAAGGCTGCCGCAGTCCTGGGCTCGGCTTGAATTTTCTTTAAAGCCTTTGCCCGGCTAAACCGTGCCACGGCGGCCCTCCGGCGGCACAAAGCCGGGGATGGGCCGGGGACACCCCCCGCCACCCTCAGGGACCGGCAGCGTCTCTTACCTCGGCTCCTTGAGCGACCTGAAAAGACGGATTTGATGGGATGCCTCCCTTTCTGGAGCCTGCGGTGCCAGCAGCAGAAGAATAAAATCGTGGCAATGGTCCCCAGCAGCAGCAGGAGCAAGAAGAGGGCGCACTGGATGCTGTAGGGTCTCAGCAGGACCAGGAAAGCCGCGGCGATCATGGCTCAAGCGCCCGGCTACCCCTGTGCGTGCGCGGGTCTGCGGCGAGCGGCGGGGGGCCGGGCAGAGCCGGGCAGCCTCTCCCCCCGGCAGCGGGGCGGGCATCGCCGCCGGCACCGCGCTGCTGGAGCCGGCAGCCGGGCGGGAGGCGGCGGCGCGGGGGAGGAGGAGGAGAAGGAGGAGGAGCGGGATGAGATTCAGGCCGTGACTCAGCAGCAGCAGCCGCCGCCGCCGCGGCGATGGTTGCGGTGGGGCTGCCCCTCGGTGCCCGCCCGGCTGCCGGGAGCGGGGAGCGCGGCGGGCAGAGCCGGAGCGCCCCGGGCAGCGGCGGGCGGGGCGGGGCCGGCGCCGCATGGCAGCCGGCGCGGGCACGGCGGGGCGGGGCGGCAGCAGCAGCAGCAGGAGGAGGAGGAGGTAGAGGAGAAGGAAGAAGAAGAAGGTGCCGCCGGCGTCGGGAGGGAGGAAGGAGCACGGAGCGGTGCATCCCGCCGCCGAGGAGGCTCGGCCGGTGACATCACCGCTGGAGCTGCTGAGAGAGTCGGAAAATGGCTGCTGCGAGGTACTGGGGGACCGCCGTGGGAAAAGAGGGGCTGCGACCCAGGGGCGCGGGGTGTCGGCAGCGGCGAGGACCCGCTCAGGTCCGTGGGGGAATCGGGTCTGTGGCGTACCCTGTACCCGAAGCGTCGGTCGAAGGCGGTTTCCTGGCGGGGGAAAGGATTGGGAAATGATAACGGGACCCATCCTGACAAGGTGACCAGGGCCCTGACCAGGTGCGGGGCTGCCCCGTGTCCCCGATGGCGGCGTTTAGCGGCAGCCGGCTGCGGGCGGGACGGGCAGAGTGCCCTGCGCGAAAGGCGCCGGGGCTGAGCGCAGCAGCACCTGCGGGGACCCTCGCCCTGCAGGAAACTGCAACGCGCTGCAGCCAATGTCAGCCCCGTGCCCTTCCCTCGCCGCCGGGCCGCAGCTGGTGGTGCAGCATCAAAATCCTGCCATGTGCAGGTCGCAAACGCAGATGGTAACAAGAGTTCACCTATGCCGCTCTTTCTACCTCTGTAGTTGTTACTGTGGTAGTCCAGACTTTCAGAGGCTGTTTCAGAGGTGTTTTGAAATGCAGTCCCTCACAGCCACGCAGAAAAAAAATCACTAGCTGAAAATATAGCCAGGTACCATTTTGCATTTACTCATGTTACTGGGGGGAAAGGTTAATTTAAGGCAAAACTCATGTGCTTTTCCTGCATCTTTGATGTGAGCACATAAATCTGTAGAGCATTTCCAAAACTTCATAGAAATAATTAAAATCTGTGTAAATATTGGAGAAACATTGAAATGTTACTGCTTTATATGACAGACATGAAGCTGCAGAAAAGCATACGCGTAAATTTAGATTAAACTAAAAAATATGCAAGCTAGAAAGACAGAGGGAAATGTATCTGTGGTAGTTTAAATAAGAACTGGAAAAATAATCTCTAGATTAGTAAAGTTAATTTATCACTGGGCTAATAACATTGTAACACTTTACTGTACCCTTAAGGTTAATAACATTGTAACGCTTTATTGTACCCTTAAAGTGAAGGAAATCTGTTATCATCCAAAAATGCTCATGATACCAGGGGAGGGGGGTGTAAGTAAAAAAAGAAAAAAAAAATTGGGTTTTAGGTCTATAATAATTTATTCCAGGTATTTCATATCATTTCATTCTGTACACCAAGAGTAAGCCAAAATAGTCTGTCCTATTACTTTGTAAAATGGAAAGTTACTACATTGCAGCCATGGATTCGAGGCTTTCCCTCACTGCCTGGAAAATGCCAAACGCTGTAAGGTTGTGTTGCATCACGTGGTACAATATTGAAATCTTTCCTAATACCGCAGTACACTGCAGTAGAATGGTTTTAATGCAGATTACCTGGAGATTATTCAAACAGTCCACGTTACCTCACTGAAACACGAAGGAAATTGGTGTGATCCTCCTGGCATCGTGTTGCAGTGCCACGCTGCAGGATATTGCAGGAGCTGGAAACTTTTTGACACCTTTAGCTCTGCACTGATTTATTGTTTCAGAGTGGGATGATAGAGCAAAAGTAGCACGGCAGTGACTGCACAGTAAATCACAGAGAACGGAGGGGGAGCAGTTCTTTTCACATTGTTCTCAGGTAACAGTGTGTAGAAATCATCTGAAAGACAAATCTCTAGTGAAAGCTTTTTAGTTTAAGGTTTATAGCTTTTCCCTTCTAAGAGTTAGAGCTCACTGGTTTCTTGAGAATAATATTTTTCCAAAAGGATATAATACATTTCATGACAGCTGCTTAATTTTTTTTTTTTTCAAATGTGAAAAAGAGTACAATTTAGTGTGAGAAATGCTGACATGCATGATTTTTCAGAGAGCTGCTGCTCCAGGCTTTTGAGTCAACTATCTCACATGTACACCAAATAGCTGCTCTGGCTTTCATTATATTCATATTCTGTGTTTGTTAAATACTGCAGGGTATGGTAGAATGGTTAAAATATTACTTTCACAGTGAATAATTTAAATTGCTGAAGTTACTACACATGAAAAAAATAAGCAAATTATACATGGGTAGATTTTTTCCCCAAATAGTAATAAAGAGAATTTAAGATAAGTTTTATATGTATCACACTTTTAATCTAAGATTCTTTACAGAATGTTTTTTAGGGGACTTTTCCTAAATCTTAAGGATGAGAAACAGAGAAGACAAAAGAAATGAAGAGAGAAGGTTAAAACAAAAACTCTCATCTGAGATTTGCCCTCAGAAGGGAAATCCTGGAGGTGAAGCCATTGCAGAGAAGAAGTAAAAGAAGGTAACAAAGCCTTGAGACTAACTGTGATCACGGGGAGCGGAATGGGAGCGGACGTCAGAAGCTGTTGAGAAGCAGAATTAAGTATTTTATAATCTAAGAAGGCAGTTATTGATTCTGCAATAAGCTAGGGGTCCTGCTGCCATTTCAGAGTACACATAATGTGAGTGCACTTTTGTAGAGTTGTGGGGTGATGGGATGTAGGGTCCCACAGATGCTCGTTCTGATGGGAACCACAGGCAAACAGAGCAGTGACAAAGTCACTGCCATAGGTGAAGCTTTTGGGAAGTGTGGGAAGCAGCCTTTCACTTGAGCAATGCTGAGGGAGGAGGTGGTGATAATTATTTGGTCAGAGGGATCAAAAAGGGAAGCTCTGCTTCAGAGAACCCACAGGGAAGAGGTGAGCAGCAAATATTTGGAAGTGGAAAGGCATAGGAGGGTGTTTCTGTGGTTACTCTTGAATGCAGTTTACCTATTTTTCCAAGTTGGTGAGTCAGGGAAGCAACATGGAAATTGTGTTGAACTTCTGCAGTTTCATGTAAGAGTTGAACAGAGAATGTGCTGTAGTAGCAGTAGCAGCCCTCCTGGAGAGAGAAAAGGCAGTGTTGACCTCAAATATTCTTTCAGCTGGTCTCTCATGATAACCTGTTCTGACTTAGCAGTCTTGCCCAGCAAGGCTGAAGAAGGAGATCCTTTTTTCCCTTACCCTTGTCCTACTTGCAGAATTACAGTACAGTCTGGACCAATGCATATTCCTTGATAATTTAGATGATGTTCAGCCACACCTTTTAAAAAAAAAACAAACAAAAATTCTAGCTGAGTGCCATAGGTTAGGCTGACAGACAAAAAAAATTGCAGAAAGAAAACATGATTGTTGTTATTATAGTACAAGAGTTCTATTGTCATTACATTGCAAGGGCTCCATATTGCTAGAGTTTTGTACCTCCTTGATGTTTTCTTGTAGGCATCTCCTCTAGGCACTGTCTCTTCCTCCTCCTCACAATAGCAAACTGACTCCAGTTCCCTCAACCACCCAATCCACTCTTTTATAACTCTCTTCTTATTGGCTACAGCTGCAGCCTGTTAACATCAGGCCTGCTCCTAATCTTTAGTAATTGGTTCAGCTGCATCTCTTTAGGGGGTAAGATTACATTCTATACCACCTTCATTTACCATGCTGTATCCCCCTACACATGATGGCATTTTGAGTGGAGAAACCATGTCATCAGATGTCTGCTGGCCTCCCCCAGTGTGAGCCATGGGATTCAAGGGCACTCCACAGCTCTGTGAAGGCATCTCTGCTCCTGCAGACTGAGGCATTGTAGACCTCATTTTGCAGCTGCAAAACTCCCTGTGTCAGTGAGCTGAGGGGAAAAAGGTCACGTGCTGGATCTGGTGATGTGGACGTAAGAATACGAGACGATGCATGAAATGATTTCAGAAGAGTAGCTGAGTGAGTGAAAGGGTAAGATTGTCTCTTTTCACTGGTATGTAGGTATGCTTTAAGGGCTGTGTTTGTATTGATTAATTATAATTGAAATATTCTGTCTAAATGACTACTTAACTGGTAAGAAGGGTTCTCTAACCATCTAATACTTTCTAACAAAATATTTGGGTTTTTCCTCTTCAAACAAGAACCAAAGTAAACACACCAAAGAAGCAAGCAAATAAAATACAGGAGACATAGTATCTGAGTGTTATCAACTTCTCTCAATGAAATAGTTGACTTTCCCCCTCAATATCCTACTCACAGATTACATAATGCCATCAGTGCTACACTAGCAGCTTAAATATACCATACAAAATGTTGTGAGAGTTTCTGGTAGATGATTAAACCTTATAAAACACTTTCTTAGTTGAAAGAATGACATTTGCTGGCTTGATATAGGCAACCCATTTAAAAGAAATCTGTTATGTGAAATGATATGTTCTAAATTCAGCAGGGTTATTACAAATCTTCGTTCTGCAAAACTTGCTAAATTGTTTACTCCATACAGTGCTTCATGAGGTTAAAAGGCATGCTAACATTAGTTACTTCTCACAAAATCTTTGAAATTAGGTAAATGTGTATTGTTATTTCAGAGTCATTGAAAAGAAAAGGTGTACTATAAATTTAAAGGTTGTATGATTTACCCAAGACCAAACTCTGTGATTCCAGTGCTACAGACTAAACTCCTCTGTGGCTGGA